AATTTTGTGGAAAGCCAACCATCAGTCAAAGGTTTGTCATTTTGTCCTTTTATATGGTGATAACAAATGAGCTGCAGATGGACCACTTTGTTAACTTGGCCAAAGCCAGCTTAACTAGAGCTCTGTAAAAGAATGTCGGGATGCTGGCAATGGAATTCAGCATGGACTTAATTTACTCTTATCCCTGTCATAAGAAATACCCATTCAGAAAAAAAGAATATAGACAGTCCAATGCACCAACAGGACATGGGAGAAAAGCTCATAAGGACTGGATCCTTTGTGTAATTTTGTTCTGTTCTCTGTATTTAAAGCATTGTGTAAGATGGGGGTGGTCAACCTGGATGCCAAAAGTGGCCTGGGCAGCCTCTACATTTGGCCCGCAGTAGACTGGGAAGGGAGCAGGGAGTACAGTGGCAGATAGGACCAGAAGCAGAAAGCAAAGTAGCATATTAAACAGGGAGCACAGGGCGAGGAGTATGAAGCAGAGTTGCAGATTTGTCAGGAAAAGAGGATTGGAGTGGCACTCCAACCACTTTACTAACCAGGCAGGGCATAGGGCTAATTTGTGACATGACTGCCAAAAGGGTTGGTCCTCACTGGTCTAAGACTGGTGCAAGCAATGTTAAACTCCTGTGGCAACAACTGTAGCTGCATCTAATTTAGAGCAGCTGTAAAGCTGGTCTGAGGTGCAGCAGGGAGCTGAACTTGATCCCTGACCAACCCCAGGAATAGTGAACATAAGGGTAGCTTAATTTACAGTTTGGCTGCCTCCAAAACTATACTCATAGGCTCAAATCACTACTTTGCTAACATGACTGCATTTGACACTTTGCACAGGTGCAAATAATTCTACAACATGGAATGGAAGATGCATTTTCCAGGAAAAACTAGGACATAAAGCAGGAAAGACAAGTGAAAGAAAAATTACTGGTAGATTTTTTGTCCCCTGGGAAGGTTTGCATGTTGCTCTGCAGAGCCATAATACACTACTGGCCTAGATGCCACAACTGTTCTTGACAGTAAATAATAAATGCCAAGGTGACATTCAGGGGTGCAGGTTGTAGCCATGTTGGTCTAAGGACATAGATAGACAAGGTTCTTTGGGTAAATCTGATATCTTTTATTAGGCCAACTCAAATAGTTGGAAAAGTTCTTCTTTACAAACTTTCAGGTACAAACAAGCTTCATCAGTTTGAGGAAGCATCTGCAGTTACTTCTAATAAAAGATATTGAATAAAATATATCTAATATATTTAAAAAAATTAAATTATATTAAATACCAATTAAAATATGTTAAACGCCAACATTTGAGTATATTAATATTAATTATTTTAATATTAAATATATTAAACATTAATAAAATATATTAAAGTATTCACATAATAAAAGATCTTAAGATGTCTAATAAAAGGTATCCGATTTACACAAAAAACCGTGTCTGCCTATGTCCTTAGACCAACACAGCTACAACCTATACTGCTGAAACATGGAAGATATAAAATTTTAGCATTTGAAATGGAAATTGCACAACATGAAACAGAAAGAAGCCAAACTCAACAGAGATATATATTTTCTAAGTCAGGGGTGGGCAATTATTTTGGGCGGAGGGCTGCTTACACAGTTTTGGCAGGCTGTCAAGGGCCACATGGGTAGTCCTGCCCCTTGACAGTTGCCCCGCCCCCTGGTCACCATCTTGGGACCAATGTCCCAATGTTTTGGGGCCAATGTCCCAGGGCCAGCACCGGTGGAGCCCAAAGTGGGGCGCAGGCTGGCAGGGGTCCGCTAGGCTGGGCTGTACTGGCAGGGAGAGGGGGAAGCTGGCCTGGCTCAATACAGCCCCTGCCAGCTGGGACCCCGTGCTCCTGCCACCCTGCTCTGGGCCCTGCCAGCACTGACTCTGGGGCACTGGTGAG